AAAGAAGGAATCATTGTTTACTCACAAGGAAGCAGTTATTCCTTTGGGGAGAGAAACAGGCTCCTTCATGCCACCCAACCCTGTCAAAGAAGGAGGCAGTCATTCTTTCTTTGGTAAGATCAAGGGGAGAGGAGCTGGGAGGGCAGGGAGGCAGGATTAAGGGGAAATGAGGGAGAGAGCATGCAGGGACCTTTGGTGGCATAAAAAAACCCTGTTGTGCTATTAAAGAGAAGTGCAGTTTTTAAAAGTTCCCAAACATAACATGATTGTGGCAAGAGTGAAGCAGGACTGAGGCTCGTGTGATAATCTCTTTTGAGAGTATTCTGAGAGTACTTGAGAGACTGCATGCACGGACAGAGAGTACTGGTTCTTGTAGTACCTGTTTTATTGACAAAAATACAAGCAGAATATATGTGTGGAGGAAAAAATCAACCCCCTACATGCAGAGCTAAGGTCCCTTTGACCATATTTCCCATTTCAGCTGCATGTTTCTAATTTTCTCTTACTCTTTGGCCATTCCAACTTCTGCCTACAGTTTCTTAGCTACTCCAAACCTCATTTCAGTTTCACCACTGAAAGTATGACTACTCATTTCAGGAAAGCATCCACAGTCATTACGAAACACTCTAAGATAATATTACTTTTGTCGAAGGTTCTGACCTTGCATTTACTCTGTTATTAAACCATTCAGTTATTGTACAATGATAATCTAATAATGAGGTCCCAGGATACTCCACCCAAATTACCTACAAAATACATCACTAAGGTTTTCTTCAATCTATAGGGCTAGGAAAAAATGGTTTCTTTTCTTTTTTTAAGAAAAAAAATGCAACTAACCATCTGAGGATTCCGTCCATTTAACAATCTGTCAAATCTGTTCATCTTCAGGCACCGTTGAATACATTTCAATATATATATACACACACACACACACATATAAAAGAAAAGGATTTCTTCTCTCCAGCTATGTAAACTAGCACTTACAACCAGATATTAGTGGAATCAATCAGTGTTCCCTTCATAGCCTTTGGTATGGTAGTAATAGGCCTGGTTTATTACTTGCCTCTTTTTAACTGTCAACAGATTAATGAAATCAGTAATTCTGTTTGCATGAACTGACAGAATCCTAGAAGTGAATCTGAACTTTTACCATTAGCTTTCAGGCACAGATTTGTGTGAAAGCAGTAAGTATCCACTGACAAACTTCTTTGTGAGTGGATACTTACTGCTTTCACACAAATCTGTGCCTGAAAGCTAATGGTAAAAGTTCAGATTCAGTTCTAGGATTCTGTCAGTTCATGCAAACAGAAGATTTTAGGACGTGCTTGTTTCTCTTTTTATTTTTCAGAAGCTTGCCTATTATTTAGATACTGATTTACTTATATACATTTTTGATATTCTGTCAT